ATAGTATCTGATAAATAATTCAAATCCAATCCAATAAATCTGTTTAACTTGAACTCTATTTCATTTCGCTTTCACAGCAACACCTTATTAGTAATCCGCACCCATCTTTCACCAAAACCCTAATGTGATAAATAACCAAAAAAAAATAAAGGAATGATTACTATTTAAGAACATGTTATCCCCGGATATTTGTCGATGTCCAAAATGTGCATTGCAAGTTTTTCCCATTATATTAAAAGATATTCCCTGCTGGAAGGAGACGCGTGTTGCCAATTGGTATGAGCTGTCGAAATGCCTTTTTTTAGCATCTCTGTCTCTCTTTCTTTGGCCAAAAACTTCGGTGATCGTCCCACACACACACAAATTGTGGCCAAGACACGGGCAATACTTCAACACACCTTGACTTGCCCCTCATCAGCCAACCTGGCGGCATTCTGTGGTATCTCTTCTCTACTCTCCAAGTTGTCAACCGAAGTCGCTGTCATTTCATTTTATTTTATTTTATTTTTCTTTACTTTACTTAAGGTGGAAGATACTGCGCCCTCTCACCTCTTCGATCCGCCTGTTTATGTTTTCTTGAGATCGTTTTTCTTTCTTCAGTTTTATTTTTTATTATATTTTTTGCTCACATATTTGATTCATTTGATGTACTGCGTGGATGTTGGTTGCTGTTTGGGATCTTGGCTATGTGTTTGGGTCGAGAATATATGGCCTACACTTTTGGAAAAGAGTTCATTTTGAGTGGAGATGAATTACAATTACTGGAGATAAGGTTGTGATTTAGGGACATACTTATATTGGTATTTGTTTTTAAGACAGTTTACTGAGGAAGACATATTAGTAAACAAGTAAATTTTCATCAATTTAAAGACTTATATAAATTAAATTTCCCTTAAAGATTTCAACATTCAACAACTTCCCACTAACTTAAAGACTTAACAAGTATCATAACATCCAACTAACTTAAAGAGTTAAACTCTATTATTAAGCCTTGCTACATATTGTACTTTAATATGTAATTTATTCCTTGATGATACCCTTATTTCTATATAGAATATAAAATGTAATTCATTCCTAGTTTTCCTACAAGTAGCATTAAAAAGTATCTGTAATTAGTGTGAACTACTTAAGCAAATATTGCAATGGGAAATGTGTTAAAAACAACAAGGTTATAACACTTGGTGGCTACAAAGCCATCAAAATATATCAAGTAGCTAAGATATCAGTAAATGGTTTAATATATATATATTTTACTGCAAACTGCAACTAATATACTTAAACTAATTAAAATACACTCTTATATTTGTTTGTTGGAATATCCAAACAACCTTAAATACGCTCATTTCCAACGCTTTGTTCCTGAAAGTATCTTTAAGATATATGTTATAGATACATATCTTATTATTTTTACCTATTTATCTAAACGAAAGTTTTGCTGTCATTTGACTTTTTGCCTGGCTAACAAACATATAGACAGTGCTTATAGCAAATATAAGTATCTATATACAAAACTGAGCAGCAGCAGCGGAAAAGTATCTCGAACGGACCAGGCCAGGCTGCCTTTTGTTCTTCTTGGCAGTTCGGGGAATTCTTTTTTTTTATATTTTGCAAAGATCACAGACCTTCTGACCTCTCGCTCTCTCGCCGAGCGCCCTGCGAAAAAAAAAGCAGGGGAAAAAAACATATTGTATGTGCGCGAAGATACAGAGAGACCTGAGTTTGGATTGGGGACTGCTGCCAGAGATACAGATACCCGAAGTACCAACACACAATATATGTATGTGTGTGCATGTCCCCTTTGCCTTTGGCCCCCCAAGCCCCACCACTGACCCCCATGCCCCCGTCCGTCCATCATCTTTATCCCGATCCGCCCGATGTCGTCGCCGTTGCCGCTGCCGTCGGTCGGTCGCAAGAGTTCTAAAAATATTTCACCGCCAACTCAGGTCGCCGGTCGTCGCCGAGATCTCATCCCGTCATGGCCCGGTCGCCTCCGTTCGCCTTTTTGGTCTCGTTTTGGGTTAAGTGTGCGGATCTCGCATCTGCAGGCTGTCTATATATATATATATATATTTATATATATATAAAGGTATATATATGCGACCGTACGCGTCCGCACATTTAAAGTTATGTATATAAATCTCTTAATATACCCTGGCACACAGGGTAATACAATTAAAGCCCAAAAAGTGGAGAAAAGGTAATACCCCATTTGAAATACAAGGATAAAACAAGACCCAAATATAGAGAAAATGTATTATTCCAGATATTAGAATATATTAGATAAAAGGATTAAAGATAGTACTAAATATATCAATCTATTTCAAAGTATGTATTTCACAAGATCGATTTTAAATACAAGACTTCAATAGGTTTTGAAAAACACAAATTAACGTGTTTTTACACTTGCAGTTTTGCGATTTGATCTAAGATCAAATGGGAAATCAGTCATAAGTAAGCTAAACATATTATTTTAAATCAACAATATTTCAATGTTTTCATATGACTACTTTATTCAAAAAATGCAAGTTTGAAAAACTCATAGCTAAGCCTAAGAACATTAATTAAATTTTATAGAACTTTACTTTTATTAGGTTAATAAATCTGCATACTCAACTTAAAGTTAAAAAAATATGAGTCTTGGTCCATTTTTGAAAATTTTAAAATTATTGAAAAAATTGAAAAAATGTTAAAAAAATGATTTTCAATCGTATATAGATTTAAAGATTCGCCTGTTGATGCTGATCAAGTATATAAATATGAATTATAGGATCGGAAAGAACTTCTTCACAGTATAACAAGCTTTTGACTGGAATTATAATACCATCCAAGGGTATACAAATTACTTCATCTTTTAATACTTAAAAATTTGTGTTTTATAGGGTATCTGATTCTTCGAATTCAGAAATCGAACCCAGTTTTGACGTCTGTGGATCTTGAGGTTTGTGTTCAGGTCGTTGTCCAGTTTTGATCGAAATCGATTTCGATTTACATTGAATTTTGTCGTCACTCGATAACAAAAGTTTCAGCCAGCCTTTGGTGGGGAGGGGTGAAAGGAAAAACAAATGAAAAACAGCGATCTTTTCATTAGAATAATGCGATATGGGCAATTAATATGCATATGTTTCCTATTCGACCGTTTGTTGCCTTTGTTGCGAAGTTCAATCGAACAACAACTGGGCAAATAGGAAAGTGCAATGCAACACCGACCGGCGAACAACTGCAATATGTCTGACCACCTCTCGGCCTATCCCCCCGATCCACTCCCACCCCCTACAACCACCCACTGCCACCCACCATCACCCATTTTCCCCCACCATACCCTAGCTTTTTCAAGCTGATTGACGAGTGACGAGGCCAAAGTATCAAATGTCCAGAGACGACACAGATATGCCTCCGTTTAAAAAACACACACTGAGGTAAAAGTCACTATTGATATGAGTTTAAGAATTATATTCTGGGAATATAATGATTTGGCTATGAAATAGCAACAGTATAATTTTCTTTTAGAGTTGGTAATCTTATTATAAACAAGAGATGAAACTTCAAAAAACAAACTTTATATACCCTTGCAATTTTCAATTAAAATATAGGATCTAACCAGATGTCGATCATAATTAAACTTGAAATATTCGCATTCTTTGGTTCGATAATTATCGATATTTTAATATAAAATGTTTTTCGATAAATCAAAGTTAAATAATATGCAAAAATATCTGAAAAGATTTCATTTAAAATCCCAAAACTTTAGATATTTAATTTTTCACTGTGCAGTTACAGAACACGCCCACACTTTTGTTATCCATCAGCTGCAGCCCCGACCCTTGGCCCCCAGCTGCCCCTTGCCCTTTTCTCCTCCCTCCCGCCCCTCCCCACCTTTGGAGGTCTTCTGAAGTTGTAGAATTACTGTTGTTTCTCTTGCCATGACTTTATCGCGTTCTCATTCTATCGTCTCGCCAGCTCATTTCCCCCGCCACTTGAACTCTGACCATCTGACCTTCGTGAACCCTTGTCGATGTGTGTGGTTGTGTGTGCAGTTCAGAAAGGGGGAGGAGAGGGTCAGATGGGGCTATAGAAAAGAGAGTCATTTGTTGCGCTTCAGAGCGTGACACACACAGTGGACACTAATCAGTATTCAAGTTGTGTTTCAAGTATTTACTTTCCTGATAAGGTCATGAGATATATATTAGCTCTTACATATTTCTCTCTTCTCTTGATTAATGAACTATTGCAAAAGATTTACACGAATTTCTCCAAGTTTATTTATGCACCTGTTTAATTGTTAAGAACTCACTGTACTGATAAAGCGCTGGCGAGGTGCTCTCTTAAGCTTTTGCTCTCTTCATGCCGTTTGTTTTGCTACACAGCTGATTTTCCGGCTCTTCGATACTCGTTCTCTCTTCTGCTCTCTTTCTTTCTTGTCCGTTGCACGTGTATGGCTGTTGGCGGCTTTGAGCTTTTGTGGTTTTGTTGTTGTTTCTCCGATTCTCCCTTCTTCGCCGCTTCCTCTTCACCGCTTCTTCGTTTCTTTTTTGATACCCCGTACTCGTAGAATGCAAGAGAATGCTGGGCCTTTGAGATATTTATGTATCTGAAAGTGGGAAGCTTCATCTTAAATATGATAAAGTTATTGTCTTTGGCCAGAGAATTTGTTATTTTGCATTTTTCGGTGCTGATCGTACTCCTGTTTTTAGGACATGCGAGTGCTTTCTATATTTTATAATTTATTATATATATGTTCCATATTTAAAGTTAAATTAACACATATGTACATAAAATATTTGTTTATTTCTTTTCATATTTATATATGTCATTAAAATACCTAAACACTGAAGAATTTTTAAATACTGTTTACTACAACTAATTTTAATAGGATATCCCCATTGTCGATCAATTCTCCTCCGTTTTGGTCTTTCTCGTTCTTGTTTTCGTATTTCTATTTGTTGAGGCACGCTCTCGTGCTCTTTCGAATCGGCGTTCAGTACGATTCCGTTCGTGCTGCGGTCAACTCGTGCAAATGTGAAAAAAAGCTTAAAGTCTGCGGCACTATCAGTGATCGACAGTTTCCCTTGATCGACGATCCACGATCCGCGATCAACGATCCCTAAACCCAAAGCGCGCGTAAATAGAGTATAAAATCGTACAACTCACATTGATAAAGAAAAAGTACACACAAAATCCAGTGACGAGATATTAAATTGTGTGCATGTGCATGTGTGTGCGTGGGCGTTGTGCAAAAAATAAATGAAAGATTGAAAAAGTGTAAATCATATAAGCGTAACGGTAACGGCAGGAGAAATAAATTTAAAAAAGTGCACAAAAACGTCGCAGCTAATCCCAACTAAAAATACACCGCACAGCAGATAAAAGCACACTCCCGCGAATATTTATATTTAGTTTTTACACCGAACTCACGTGTCTAACGACAGTTTGACAGCCGAGATACAAATCTCTTCTTTTGGTTTTAGTTTTTTAGTTTTTTTTGCGAGAAGCTGCGCACGTGACCAGCCATTAATGAATGAGACACCAGAGATATAGGGAAAAGCCAAGAGGGAGAGGTACGGGTAGAGTGAGAGAGAGAGATAGAGAGAGAGAGCGGGACAAGTGATAACGCCGCGAAGAAAGAAAGAAATCCCGAAATCTTATGCAAATATCGAAGAGCCACACAAAAAAGTGAAACGCAAAAAATCAAGTTTAAAAGTCAAGAGTCACAAAACAAAATTCAATAAACAATGTTTTGAAAGTTCAAAAGCTATAAAACAACAAATGTTAATTGTGCAAAGAAACACAAAAAGTATATTCGATTATCTCACCCGAAACCAAAAGTGGTAGAATTAGTTAAATAAACCAAAAATATTAAGTGCAAACAGTGGCTAAAAACAAGATTGTTCACAAGAATATGAAATATCAATAATAAACGGAGTAATAAGACAGTAAAGCAATTCGGTTTCAACTAAAAGTAACAAATTATATTGAAATTAATATCTCGACTAGACTTAAACTTATGACAAATTGGCAACAATTCTATTAGTTAGTCAAAAGAACAACAATAGACACTTGTTGGGGCAATCAACGTCGAAACAATCAAAAAGGTAAATTCAAAATTTGAATTTGAGTTTTGAGAGACAAAAAAATACACACACACCAACACACACTCATAAAAAAACATTAAAAGAAATAGATACAGAAACCGAAACGAGAAACAAATGCATAATATAAATGCAAAAGCTGTTTAAATATTTGATAGCCAACGGAGAGCGACCTTAAACTTTTCCTTTGTTTCGTTCCAAACAGAAAAGGTTAAAGTTCCGATACAGTTTTAGCCAGGCATGTCGAAACAAGTTTACTTTTGTCATTTCTCGATCGGTTTTTCAGATCAAGTTTTGACCAAGACTTTTGATCTTGAAGTTGGGCTTAATATTACTTGTAAATCTTTGTATATTATACATAACTTTTATTAACTTTATTAAATAAAATGTAAACTTCAAATTGATCCAATTCCAAGTAAAAGCCATCAAATGGCGCAGTTTTGGGTTTTTTTTTTTTTAATCTGCTGGCTTCGAAGTGTATCCCTATACATTTTATCTTTTAATGTTAATACACATGTCAGAAAGAGATGACAGTAGAATGCTATTTTTTAACGGGGAATTACCCTGATTGCTCTTCTTTAATACGGTGGGCTTTATGCGTAAAAATCAGAGTTCAAATATGTAGTACAGTGGGCCTTATAACAATCTTCTTGCCTCAATATTGTATTTTTATGAACTCCATTTATAAAATTTATTGATAACGGCATAGCTGGTTTTATCATATCAATGAAGAATTTAAAAAGCTTATTTGTGATTTATTATTAAGAAGAAATTTTATGGTCTGTCAAAATCTATTAAGGTCGGTGTTTAAATTTATTGCATAATTTATTACAGCACGCCAAAGGGTATTAAAATGTTATTAAATAACTTAACAGTTATAAAATCATTTAACAATTAATAAAAGATCTTTAATAATGTGCATTTAAAAGGCTGTAAAGCACATTCTTTAAGTTTATTTATCGCTTTTATCATAATTTACAGAACCAAAAACTTTAATTAATATCATTTAATTACTAAGTTGTTATTAAATAACTGAATCACTTAAATATTAACAAAAGATCTGTAATAATAGGTTTATAAAGTTATACAGCACATTCTTGAAGTTTATTTATCGCTTTTATCATAATTTACAGAACCAAAAACTTTAATTAATATCATTTAATTACTAAGTTGTTATTAAATAACTGAATCACTCAAATATTAACAAAAGATCTGTAATAATAGGTTTATAAAGTTATACAGCACATTCTTTTAGTTTATTTATCGCTTTTCTCATGATTTACAAAACTAAAAATTAGCTGTGACTGCAATTAATATAATTTAATTACTAAAATAACACAAAAAAAAACCTGGAAAAAACTAATGGCAAACCTTAAACAAAAGTAGTCATTGCAGATACAATTTGACAACCAGCGAATTAATTAAGCAAACACCCAAAGCCAAGTTAAATGAACACATTTGAAACTACCACATAAAGCCAACTACAAACTACCAATGATTACATACATACATTGTTGGACAATTGCGAACAGAGATAAATTAGCAGCATAAATGGTCAAGACAACTGAAACGGCTAACAAAACCTGGCAACTTAATTGAAGAAGTGGTCGAGCGTAAAGTGTTAAAATAACTCTATAAGCCCCATGATTTGTCTTGGCCACAAGTCGCTCTCCCTCTCTCTTTTAGCCATCTCCCTCTCTTTCTATAGTGTTTATTTATTTATTTTTTATTTCCTGCCTTCACTTTACTTGCAGCAGCAGCCAGCAGTCGGCAGTGTGACAGAGACAGACGCGGATCGCCAGAGAGAGAGGGCAAATCGAGTCGGTTTGACAATATGTTGAGCCCCCATAATGAAGGAAATTGATACGGAGACAACAGTAGTATGGCCAGCCTGGTGTTATTCCGGTAAGTCAGTCCAGTCGTCTCCGAATATGTCTGCTCTCCTTGCTCTTCCCCCCTAAACTTCACTCGCTTACCAACTTTACGGCTTTATGGCAACAAAAGCTGTTGAAAGTTCAACTATCGTTTTACGCTATTATTGCTGAGCGGTTTTTTAATACCCTGTAGTTATGGGTGGAGTTGGATAACACAGGGTGGGGATGATGGTTGATCATCTGATATATTTTAAAAATCAATGGGTTCTAAAATCAAATTAATTGTATCTTTACTTAAGGGACCTACAAAACAAGAATGTTTTTATATTTTGTAAGATATAAAGGTGATTTAGAATATATTTAAATTTTATAAGTGAGGTGTATCCACAGGGTTTAATATAAATACTCAAAACTGACCCTTACAGGGTATTTTAATTTTAGTCGAAAGCTTCATACGCTATGAAGGAGTCATTTCCGACCCTATGAATCATATATATTCTTGATCAGCACTAACAGCCTAATCGATTTAGCCATGTCCGGTTAAAAAAACTTTAAATTGAGTAAACAGATATATTAACCTTATAAAAATGAACGTAAAGATGCAATAAGAATTAAAATTAATGCTTTTTGGCGAAGTTATGAGTTTTTGTAACTTTGACTTGTCCGAAAAATTGTCATATAAACATATTCATAAAATCGATTCAAAAAATTGGAATATATTAAGCTTAGTTATGATCGATTTTCGATACGTTCCTATAACTTGTATATTGGAAACTGCAAAGGTAAAAAAACTTAGGAGTACCGAAGTTGGTTTCCTTTCTTGTTGTAATCTTGCTAGATCGTTTTGAATTTAAATTCTGAGAATATTACAACATATACCTTGAAATCTATGTTAGTTTTTTTTTTCTTAATTGGTGCTCAAATGATTATTACTATGATTCTTAAGCACTATCTCTTAACTCCATTTTGAACTATAAATTATGCATAAAAATCAACTGTTTCGAAACTTTTTATTGATACTTATTTCTTAAATAGGGTATCTTAAAAGTGAACCCAAAACCCATAGTTTTTCTCCATTATTTCTATTTGTTTTCATTTATTTTATTTGTTATTGTGTATGCCTTACTTTTTTTTGGGCTTATATTTCCCAGCAGTATCTATCTCTCTCTCTCTCTCTGTTAGCTGAAAGGCCGTTGGCCATTGTGCCTTTTGTTGGCAGTGCGCTGTCAACGCCTGGAAATGAGTTACTGGTGGTCAGTGGTAGTAGAAGTTGTGGAGTTTTGTGGCCTACTGTTTCCACTGCAGTTTATGATCAAACGATTTTGTTTTGGCCCCCGTTTTTGGGTTTTTTATTTTTATTTTTTATTACTTTTTACGCCCGCCGTAAATTTGTCTCAGCCAGAGACCTTTGCCCTGGTTGTTTTTGTTTTTTCTTTGGTATTTTGGCAATATTTATGGGCGTGGGACATTTGTCTGCTGCTTTTTGATGGATTAATTATATTGAGTAAAGTTTGGTCCATTTTCTTGATACTTCACTTGCCGAATGGATTCGTCAGGTACATATCTCAACAGTTATGATGTCATGTATATCTTGGCTCACCTTTGACTTTTCCTTTGGCTTTGGTCACTCGCAGTTAGCATGCAAAAACGAGAATTTCTGTTCGACATGCACATTGTGAAACACAAAAAGTTAAATATATATCTATATATACATACATATGTACAAAAAATCAGTAAAAAAGTAAAAGGCAGAACAGTCACCCAAAAACCGGAGAGAGAGAGAGAGAGAGAGAGGGACACAGAATTGGGGGTTTTTTAATGACGTCAGTTGGAAGTTGCACAAGCTGCTTATAATTATAATTATTCGATTGATAAATTAATTGATTTTATCTGTTTAACTGTGATTATTGAAGAGGTATCTATATATCACGATTTCAGCTCTTCTTGATATCTTCGTTTCGATTTGATTTCGGGGAATGGGATTTTAACATAATAATGCTAATTATTAAGGTTAGCATTAATCCATTTTTATTAAACTGGAAGAAACTCAATTATTTGGAATATTCTTTTGAAAGTTAATCTGTAATCTAACCACCTTTACATTCTCTCTCTCGCGTTGTCAACCTTTTGACCATAAAAAAAGCGTTAACAAAAAACCGCTCCCAAAATCCGTCGAGTTCATCGCGCATTCATTAAGCATTCAGCATGCAAATGTTCATTAAATAAAAGTAAACTTCACCGTCCCAAAAATTCCTCGATTTGACTTGACTTTGACCGGCTCTCCTCTCCAATAAGGCTAAAAAAAGGGACGGTGGAGGGACAAATGAACGCCCAAATGGCCGACAAGTGGCGATAAAAAACAAAGCAAAAAAAAAAATATATATATATATAAACATATATAAGAAACGTATCGGACTGCAGCAGCTTTAAAATAAAAATAATCAAAAATAACAAGAAAAAATAAACAAGCAACTGATGCCGAAGACGACGTCGCCGATGATGATAATGATGAAAAAGATCGCTTGCCGGGCAAAAATTAAAATGCAAAACGAGTCAGCACCGAGGTCCCAAAGCGTCGGGAAGTTGCAGGAGGAAAGGGCAAAGCGCCTCGTCGTCGTCGTCCATTCAATACAGAAGCGACCCGTTCGCATCTCGGTTTTGGGCCAGGCTAATACCAAAGTCAGTGAAATCAACAGTAGAAGTTCGAGAAATGGGCGAACTATTAAGAAAATTAAATAAATATAGTTATATTGATTATTTACAAAACAAGAAGGGATGCCGCATTTTATAAACCCTTGCGGAAATCGATTATAGTAAAGCTTAGAATATCCACATTTTATTTATTTATTTAATAGATATTTATTTTTATTTTAATAGGACAAGTAAATCAACAAATCATAGTTTAAAAAACTAATAGCTTAGTCAAAAAAACAATAATTTTAATTCGAAAAGCTTTCTTATGTTAGTTTTTATTATGGTAATATGGTGCATACTCCATTTAACATTTTAAAAAATTACAAATTCGAGAAATTTTAAGAAATTTTAATAATGTAACCCATTTTTTTTTAATTCCGAATTTAACGAGATCGATTTAGCTGTTAATTTTGATTAAGAATTAAGAATGATTTATAGGGTCGGAAATGACTCCTTCTTAGTAAAACAAACTTCTGACTGAAAATATAATATAAGAAAGCTACAGCTTAATAATATAAAGTTGTTCGAGTTTAAAACAAACGATATTATTCAATTAAGAACTAGACATGCGATAAAAATGCGTTCGATATTGATAGTTTTATTGATGTCTTGTCAGCTGTAATTGAATTTTATCAACAGATCCGTTTATTTTCGATTATAGATCTCTTGGAAATTTGAATTAAATATTTGGTTCGTATTACGTATAGATAATTTTGATTGCATCTTCGTTTTCAGATCTCTTGAAAAGTGAAATAAAAAAATTTAAACCCGTATTACGTATTTATTATTTCAGTTTAAGCTCTAGTTCAAACTTATGTAAAGAATATACAGCTTTGATTCGATTTATATAATCTATATTCTCTACGATAGATCTAAAAAGAAAATACTCTGGGAAGAAATACCTTAGTATGATGCCTCACTGTACCCCCTATAATATCAATATGAACCGGGAGATCTGCTGGCAAAGGTTATAATGCATCTCCATTGCCGTGGCTGCCTTCGTCTCGAGGCGTCGTTCTTGTTTGCCTTTTGCGCTTTTCACTGGTTGGCACTCTGGCCTCTCAGCTCTCAGCTCTCGGTTCGCTGTTTATGCCACATTTTTGTTGTTGTTTTTTAATTTTTTTTGCTTTGTTTTTGCCTGACTTGACTCGGAAACCTTTGACGCGAACTTATGCCCTGCGAATGGCCATGGAATGTTGACTTGCTGTCTGTCTGGGGCCGAGAACGGCGACTGGGAATGAGTCGCAGTCCCCAAGTCGCAGTCAGGCAGAAATCAGAGGGAGCCTTAAGAAAGCGATGACGATGAGGTTGGTTGGGGTAAAAAGAAGCTTTACAATGTGATCTTAAGTGATCAATGGATACGCTTTAACTTGAATAATTATAAAAATCTTTTAAATATGTATCTAAATAAGTCAAAGAAAGCTCTTATTTCCATGATAAATATCAAATAAATGATTGTTGTTTATCACAGAGAAATAAAGTGGCAATACCTTGCTTACAAAAATGTTTACAAAATCAAATTTGAATATATTTTTTGAATAGATTTCCCTCCTTGGTAAGAGCATCTATAGTTGGTGTGTTTGTATTTCTGATGGATCGCTTAGGTCCACTATATATGCTTTATATGCCGATGGCGTGCAGTGAGTCGCCAATGAATTCCCCTTCCACTTCCACAAAGGCAAAAGGCATCCTCGTATTTTTTATGTGTGCTCAACTTTGCACTCCGGAGCAAAGTCAAAACGACTTGGGACACGCACACTTGTTGCTCTTTGGCACTGGAATTGCCTTACGTGGCATGCATGCTTGTTGCACGTTGCAAGTTGCTGCTGCTGCTGCTGCTGCTGCACTTATTTATTGTTTGTTGTTGCCGTGGTTATGATTTGCGATTTTTTGTATTTTTGTTGCCCCGCATATCGATGGCCACTTGGGCCGCGCCTCGTCTCTGCCACCTGAATCCCAATCCCAAACCCAATTCCGATCCCGATCCCGATCCCGATCCCGATCCCTCTTAGCACGGTAGCCGCCGCAGGGCGCAATTATGCCACTTGTCGGAATTTCACTCAGACTCAAGTTGGTAGGGAAGAAGAGCAGATAAAGCCAACGTTTGCGCCGACGCAGTAGCTCTCTCTCTCTCTCTGTATATATCTTTGGGTTTTTTGTTCAAGTACAGTGATTACTACCATAAGGAAGAATTAAATTTTATTGAATTTTAGTATAAAGTATTGGATGTTGATATTATTATTTACAAATAATTAAGAAAAGGCTACAAAACTGGTTCTTGAATCTTGCTATCAACAACTCGGTAACCTTTTAAATATTATTAAGATGTTTAAACTT